TAATTCTGGTTGGGACTGTCGCTTACCAATCCTCACTTGCCCGGAAATTTGAGTATGGCTCAAGTCAACGTATCCTACAAAGACTAGCAGTCACTGAGGTGCATCATTTGTGCACAAATGCGCTCGCCAGAAATACAAGCAATTAGAAGCGCATGGTGTCTTCCTGGCTTTGCCTCAGGGCGCGGGCAGTGCCGGCCTGCAACCTCTGCTTTGCCAATAGATTTACTTGGGGCCTAGGCTGGCTTGGTCACACCAGCCTTCCTCCCTTGCCAGTCTTTGCTTCTCTTCTGGGCCAGGATTCCAGGATTCCAGTTCAGCGCCCTTTGAGTCAGAGCCCATTTTTGCGGCGGGTGCAGGGTGGGCTTGGGCTGGCTTGGGGTTGGCGTAAGGGTTGCTTTCGATATCTGGCCACATGGGATCCAGGCTGGTGTAAAGGTTTGGGGCAAACGCTATTGTCCTGGCCATCTGCCCCGTTATCACATTTGGCCCAGGTCCAAAACCACACCCTGCTGCCTGTTGGTCCCTAAATCGGAAAACAAAACATGTTGCTCCTGCAGGCCCGCTGTCTGTGACAGGGCCAACTGAGACAAATGATGCCGGGGATGCCCCCTTCCATGCTGTCCATGCTGACCAAGCGACCACAAAGAACCAACAACCGACCAACTGTCAGCCCTTACAAAAATTCAGCCCTAGGAGAAAAATGCATGCTACAAGAAATACCCTCCAAGAAAAGACAAGAAACAAAAAATATTGCATTAGCTACCGGAAGCACGAAGCCACGCATTTCCCATAACATCGGCCCCTCAATGCTGAACAAGGCACCCGCTCTGGTCCTGTGAATCGCTAAGCCTGAGCCGTCGACGCCACAAGTTTCTCACCAACAAGGTCTGCTGTTGCCCAAGCCCGAGCTCCCAGCAACCCATCCATGTGGATCAAGAACTCCGACTTGAAGCGCCGTGATGCCTGCGATGTCGCAGGCTGTGGATGTGACTTGGCCATGGGTTAAAATCCAAATCGTACCCCCAGTGAACATCCCAATCCAACCACTAAAACAGGTTCTAAAATGGGTGGTGAATTCACCTCCCAACCAAAATGGTACCACACTAAAATAGACAAAAATGGGTGCTGAATTCACCTACTAACCAAAATGGTACCATTGGCTTTGACACTAAAATAGACTAAACTGGGTGGTGAACTCACCTACCAACCAAAATGGGATCCAAAACGGTTTTGACCACCACAGCCACTTGGAGCTGCAGCATGTCAACCCACGGCGTCCTCGTGCTCGGCTGCGCCGCCTCGCTGGGACAAAAGCCTCGGGGCTTCTGCTTGCAAATGATACAAGTACCTCACCCCCAAGCACCTCATACACATCATACACCAATTTGTCCTTCTTCTTCTTCTCCCGAAAAACACCTCACAAGGACCACATACACCACTCCTTCTTCACCAACACCTCACGAGCCCCTTCTCAGATGGTTCCTGGATGTTCCTGGCTTCCATCAGGCAACGAGTCGATCTCGTCAAAGAAGAGGATGGCGGGAACCCGCGAGCGCGCGGTCTGGAAGAGGGCCCGCAGGAGCTTCTCGGACTCGCCCCGCCACTTGGAGGTGAGCGTGGCGGAGCTGCAGTTGAAGAAGGTGATGCTCCTCGCATACATCGCAGAGATGTACCCTCCCACCAACTAACATGGGTTGGTGCAAAAAGGCCCTTTCCAAGAGGAAAGTGTCCTTTCTACAGGGGTCTATGCACTTCCATGTTAACATAACGCCCAAAGCAGACATGCCTGTGGGTCAGAAATGGTGTAACCCTAAAATGGAACCCTGGTAAATGGAAACAAGGACGACAACCTGCGGTCTCCTGGTGGTCTAATCTTGACTCATATCCACGTGTGATGTTGCAATCACTGCACAGTACACAGAATTGTTGCAGCAAGTTCAATTGTCAATTGCCTTGACGATTCAGGGGCCGGTTCCGTCTCTTGCAGACAAGAATCTCCGCACAAGAAGCCACCGCTTTAGCCAGCATTGTCTTGCCTGTTCCCGGAGGTCCAAACAGTAGAACGCCCTTCCATGGCTTCCTCAGACCCACGAAAAATTCTGGCATCAGCAAGGGCAGTATGACCGCCTCGTTGATCGCACGCTTTGCGTCATCTAGACCTCCTATGTCTTCGAAGCGAACCTTCAAATCCTGGCAGACGATGTCCCTTTCAATCGTCATGGCCAAGTCCATCTCTTCCGTCGCTGAGCTACCCATGGGGCAAGGGCCATAAGCCCCGCCCTTGCGGCTCGTCTGCGTGGGCGCGGACGCGGCAGCGGACGCCACCGCCGCTTCCTCGTCTGGCGGTGCGGCCAGCGGGGCCATGCGGAAACGCCGCACGTAGCACCTGGTCTTGCCATAGGCGGCTAATCCCACGCCCCCGCCCTGACATCGGTCCACTCGGAGGTTCCTGGCCACCGCCACACCGCTCAGCGAGAGGGTCAGGGTGTCCCCGTGAAACTCCACCAGCACGGTGACGTACGCCTGCGGCCGCAGCAAGGTGCAGTTGGGCTGGGCGAAGAGAACTTGAGTCGACGCGTTGCGCTTGTGACTCTCCACGCGGACCTCTCGAGTGTCAAAGCTCAGCCGCACAGCGCAAAAGTCGCAGCCAGAGGAGAGGTCTGTGACACTGGTGCAATCCAGCAACAGGAAGACCTGCTGCTCGGGAGTCCTTGATCGTTGCGGCTGATGCCCCGCGAAAGGAGATAAGCTTCCAACAGGCAGGGGGCAAATGGAGGGATGCAACCCCAACTTTGGAGTGGGCGGCTCGGCAAATGAGCAACGCAGAAGCGAAGCAACATCAGCAACTTTCTGCAAATCCCTGGTTGCTGTTGACCCCTCTGCAAAAAGCTAAAACTTTCGTTGTTGTGGGTCCAGCAAAAGTCCACTTCCCAAAAAGTTCTAAGGTCCAAAGATCCAACCAAAATCATGGTATGTCTAACTACCCCCAGCTGACTTGGGTGGGGGGGAGGGTAGTTGGCTAGGGGGTAGTTAGACATACCATGAAAATAGCCATAAAGAATCCCATGAATCAAAGCTGCTGACCCCCTGGCATGCACTTCACCTCGCTGGTCACCGAGAAAGAGCCGCTCTCCAGGGCAGTCCTCTCTTCCAAGCTGCCGCCGTAGCCGCAGCCAGAAAAGCCCGCAGACTTCGTCCCTTCCAGGATGAAGACATTCTTCTCCTGCAGCTTTTGCAACCAACTCTGATGTTTCGAGATCAACGATGTTCAAGCCAACTTGCCAGCATGCAAGGAAACTGTACGCTGTCCTTCTTGCTCAAGTAGATCTTTCCATGATCCGTCAGCTGCGTCCAGCCTGGCTTCCGGCAGTTTTGCTTTGAAGCTTCCCGTAAAAAAATGTTCAGCTTCAGAAGAACAGCCAAGCGTGCGTGGAAGCAGCCTCGTTTGCCCGTCACAGTGATCTTATCCTCGCCTGGCCCATAATCCTCTTTTGAGGGAGCCCTGCGCCCCTCAGCCATGACACGGCACAGCCATCAGAGTCCGGAAATGTATGGTTGGTGTTCGACTTGGCTTCGGCGTCTGCTTTAAATCAAAACGGCGTGCGCTTGACATGTTCTGTTGATGTGTCATGTGGGTGCTGAATGGCGCCGAATGCTGGGCTTCTGCATGTCCCCGACGGCCATGTGCAACAACTCGCAGCTATGTCTTTATCCCTTCGCGGGTGCCAACCCATGCTGCCAGCGGGCAGAAAGCTGCCAGCGGGCAGAAAGCTGCAACCCACAGTTCGTACATCAAGTTTCTTGGCAAAGGTATACAGCTCAACTGAAATATGACGCTGTGCAGTGCTGAATCTTGCAATTGCTGTTGAGGCTGGTGCTCCACTTGCTGAGCACCAAGCTTGCCCCCTTCCAAGGCCAAAACATGGATCGCCTTTTACTTCTGGCAAGCCACTTACCTCTGACGCGCTCAGATCGTGCCCAGCGCCACCTGCACAACACTCATCAAAACACCACGTCGGGGCCATCCGGGGCCAAGCTGGACCAAGCGAGGACAGGCCCAACCTGCTCCTTGATCCAGGGGATGACCTCATCCAGCGCATCTTCCAGCGAAGTGGTGCACTCAATGCCCAGCACCTCCTGGATGCACGAGTTGCGCCCCAGACTCGACTCCAAATGCATCGGCCTTGGCCTTTTCCACACAGGGAACACGCATTTGCACGTCATGCCTCAGGAAAATGACTTGTGTCTTGCTTTTTCGAGAGCGCACATGCAGGAAGAAGAAACAAAATCTGGTCTTGTTCAAACGCCGTGATGTGGCGTTTACCGCTGAGCAGGCTGCTGGAAGGGCTCGTCGGAGACGTACTCGAAGGCCACGTCCCCTTTGAGCTTCTTCCAAATCACTTCCGCCAGCTCCAGGACCTCGGAGCTATCCGCGGATGAGATTTGAAGGTTTCAGCTCCTTGAGCCAGGGGGCCGTGTGCCCGGCGGCCGTGGAAATGTTGAAGTCCTGCAGCGGAAGCTTTTTGGTGAGCACGCACCAAGCTTTGCCTCCATCCTGCTGGTGGCGTGGGGGAGGAAAAAAAACAAGCACATGAGACTTTGAAACAGAATCATCATTGATCCCCAATGTTCCCCGAGTGTCCAACAGCCACGTTTGCGTGCCCGAAGTGCCGCGCCTGGTTCTTGGACCGAGGATCCATGATACATTTCACAATGCCCCGCGCGAGGTCCCCAGCCTCGGCCATTCCACAAGCGAGCAGTTGCTGCACAGGTCTGCTTGGTGACCCACATCCCCGCCCCAAATGGCCATGGGTCAAAACCCCGGTACCCAAATGGAACCCTTGTGAGTGGAAACATGGACCAAAACACGCGTAACCTCTCCTGCTTAATTTTGAGCCACCCCGAAATCTCCGCCGCGCGGCATAGGTGTAGTGCCGTGTCTGGTTCCCGGAGCCGAGGATGTGCAGCCTGAGCCAGGCTTCTTGGATACTGAAACGATCCTGAAGGCTCAAATTTGGGAAACCGGCTCCAGAGCTCCGGGCCCAACTTCATGTTCAATGCCTCCCACCAAAACACACAAACACACAGACACACAGACACACAGACACACAGACACACAGACACACAGACACACAGACACACAGACACACAGACACACACACAGACACACAGACACACAGACACACAGACACACAGACACACAGACACACAGAGACACAGACACACAGACACACAGACACACACACAGACACACAGACACACAGACACACAGACACACAGACACACAGACACACAGACACACAGACACACAGACACACAGACACAGACCCCACACCCACACACGCACACACGCACACAAGCACACCGCACAGACACAACACACACACACACACACAACACACACACACACACACACACACACACCACACACACACACACACACACGCACACTCACGCACAACACGCACACGACGCACACACACGCACACACGCAACAACGCAACGACGCACACACGCACACACGCACAACACGCACACGCACACAGCACACGCACACACACAACACACCACACACACACACACAAACACACACACACACACACACACACACACACTCACACACACAACCACACGCACGCACGCAGGCACGCACGCACTGCACACAGCACGACGCAGCCAGCCGCACACAACCACACACGCACACACACGCACACACACGCACACACACGCACACACACGCACACACGCACACACGCACACACGCACACACGCAGAGACACAGACACAGACACACACACACACACACACACACACACACACACACACACACACACACACACACACACACACACTTGATATGAGACGGCGAAACTGCCATGGTGCACCCCCGAGCAACTGGAAGGTGAAAAGTGGAGAGTGGAGTTTCGGCTCCGAGCAAGTCAGGACATTGTTCGTCAAGCAAGCTTCCTCTTCAGGGACGCCATCACCTGCTTGACTACTACACGCCTGATCATGCCGGGAGGTGGCGTCCGACTCCAAACTCAAAAGGACAGCGGAAACCCCTTAGAAACAGGGGGGCCACACACACACACACCCCGCAGGGGGAGAACACAGAAACCCGAAAGGCCGCCTCCATCATGATGCTCGATGGGAGATTTGGTCACTTTTTTGAATCCTGCCTGCGCGTCTAGACGCGCATCCCACAGTATTAAAAAGCCAAGTTTCTAAAACAAGGGCCAACCAGGAATCCAGACAGCAGGGGCCCTCAGAGACAGAAGCAAAACAGAAACAAAACAAAAAACCAAAACCATGCCAAGACATACACCGGCGGCGGCTGTTTGCGGACTTTTTGATTGTGGCCGAAGGGACGCATTGCTCCCATATGGAGTTCAAAAAGTCGATGCCCCAAATCCGTGGTAGAGCTGCACCTGTATCACCGGAGACGACTGGGCAGGCTGTGTTGGACACGTTCAGGTAGTCTTCTGATTCTGTTCCCGAGCTTTCCTGAGGCGTTCCAGGCTCCTCCAGTGCTGCGTGACATCCGCGATGGACCTGTTGAGCTTCTTGGCCAGCGATTTGTACGAGTACTTGGACCGGTTGTCCGCTTTCAGGCTGCAAAGCTGCTGGTCATCTTCCTCTGTCCAGGCACGAGGTGCTTCCGGGGGAGTTCCTGGGTTGCCGGCACCGGAATGAGCATGAGCCGGAGGTTCAGGAAGGGATTCAGGAGAGGATACCAGGCCAGCGCAGGGAGAGACCGGAGCTGGAGCTGGAGTACGAGGTGTAGCGCGGCATCGCTTTCGCTTGGTTCTGCGTCGATCGGCCTCACCCTTGTCCATTATAGAGCGAGGAACATTGGCCTTCTTGAAGCCCGGCTGACCAACGTAATCGTGCACCATGGGGCTCTTCGAACGTAGATCTGTAGGGTCGTTGGTGTCCGCCGCGATGATGCAATAGGACAACGACTTGGGGTTGACCGCCACGTTCCGCCTGTGGTCTGCGTGTGACTGAATTGCTTGGAATCCGACATGTGGTGGAGGGTCGGTCGGAGATGCTGGGTTCACTGGATTCGACATCGGCGGGCCAGGTGGGTTTACCTCATCGGCTCCAACAGGAGCAGGTGCGTGTAGCCGTGATGGCTCGGCCAGCGACCGGCCTTGGACATATTGTTGTTGCCAGCGACCTTGCCCGTCATGGTGCCGGCGACTGCGTGCCTCGTCAGCTTGGTTCAAGGTCTCCTGAATGAGCTGCATCATGTCACCAGCGTTCTGAGTCATGCGGTGATGAAGCGCTATCATGCGGCCGAGCATGGCGACAGCTCGCGGAGGTCGGCAGGAAGTGCAGCACTGTTTGAACCAGTGTATGAGCACCATGGTCAGCACGGACATCAAGAAACAAGAAACCAAGAAAAACAAGAAAAGACAAACGCGGACACATGAGGGTAAGAGCCAAAAGGCAGGCGCTTGAGAGTTCTTTCGTGCTGGAGTCGCCGGTAGGTGAAACAGGTGTTGCAGGTCAGCTGACTTGTAGCCTGCGGACAAATAGATGCTGCGAAGCTGATCCAGTGCCATCTGTACTGCTCTGGCCGGATGCGCGTACTTGGTGGCAAGGGCTGACCGTGACCTAGCTCCTGAGAGGAGGATGGAGAGGCTTCCAGCAGTGCGTGGTCCTCGTATCTGCCAGATTTTTGTAGGGGTTTTTGTAGTAAATAGACCGGTCGCCGACATCGATGACGAAGTCGAGGAAGTCTGAAGACCCCACTTGTTCCAGCACGATGGGGGCACCGTAGAAGTCAGCCTGGAGCAGTGCCTGGGGCGCCGGGTGACCTGAGGATGGAGAAGGGAAGATGACAAACCGGTTGTCCACATATCGCTCCAAGAAGACGTTGTGACTGGTGTACCATTGTCCATAGATAAGCTGCCACATGACTTCGTGCCTTGCTACGCATATGTGGCTAAGTACCGGGCTGAGCTGGGAGCCAATTGTTGTACCATGGACTTGGCGCATGAAGAGGGTCCCCACTTGAACACACATGCCTTGGAAGCTGGACTTGACAATGGTCATGATGTCCTCCACGTGGATGATGCGCGTGGTCGGTGTGCGTCCGTAGGATTGCTTGCCCGCAAACACCCGATTATAGTGGGCAGTTGCCTGTGTTTCCACTGAGTACACGGAACTGGGCCTGTCTCGTTGGTGCTCGGCGAGTAGCTGCGCAACCGCTGCACACACCTGGTCCTGAGGAACACTGTTGAAGAAGCCGACTAAGTCGTCATTGTGGAAGGCAAGGGTGACTGTGTCATCTGTGTTGTCAAAGTATTGCTTGATGTTCTGCCATATGCGTGGTGTGGGGTGTATGCCCCGTGAGCGTCTCCATGTGTCTGCGGCAATCTCGTCGAGAAGGATGGCGACTGCTTTGAAAAGTAGCCTTGTGATATGCTATAATGGTGCGACCCGACTTCCACTGCTTTTGCCGTTTGAGAAAGACTTTTCCAACCGGGATGGAGGTGGTCTTCTTCCGGTATGCCCATTTGTACTTCTGCCGCAGGTGCTTTGGAATTGCCTCAAGAATAATGGCCGCTGCTTGATCGGGCTTCAGTGTAGTGGCTTCGAAGGTGCTGGACTGAAGCCAGGTATTGTGGAGGCCCTTGAAGTAGAGTTGAGGACAGAAGAACATGAGGTGGTGGTTGTCATGATCCTCGTTGTGGCATACAAAGTCTTGACCAAGTCGATGAAGGATGTTGAGCTGATGCTTGGTAAGGAGCTGGTGAGTGCATGCATGTTTCCGATGTTGCTGGAATTGGCTGCGAAGGTGCTCCATGAGAGGGGCGTGGAACTGGTCCAGCGGGAGTCCGTGATGCAAACACCATTTCCGTAGGCATTCGTGAACTTGCACTTCGTAGACCGCGAAGTCCACATAATACGACGCCAGCGCTGAAGTGTAGTGAGCGTGATGGGGCGTACCCGGAAACCGGAACTCATCTAATCCTGCTGCCACATGACCTTGAACATGGGATAGCCAGGGCTGACTTTTGAGCCAGGCGTCGCATTGACACGATGATGGCCCAGAAGACGTCAAGGGATAGCAGTCCTGAAATGGCGAGTAGTTCCACATGACTGTGTGGACTCGGGGATGAGGAGTCTCAGCGAGCTTCGTGCTCGGTAAGTGGAATGGAAGGGCCCAGTTGCGGTGGTCGATGACGAGACGACGAAGAACTTCTCCGGTGGTACGTTGATAATCTGGGTGAGACAGCCACGCTAGTCGCAATAGCAGGTTGAGCTTGGGTTGCTGTACTTGTCGAATATCAAGAACTCGACGAAGAATGTTGAGAACTCGATGCCGATGAGGCTGCTCCACATTGCCAGACAACCTGTAGATGGCGTAGATGTCCAGGTCCGAGCGCTGTCCGCTGCGAAGTCGTTTTTCTTCTTCCCAGGATTCAATGTGCTCCGAGGTGAGGCGGGCAATGATGGACCACGCCTGATTGTGTTTGAGCGCCACTCGATGAAAATTTCGGCCATAGACTGTGCAGCTCCTTCTTCGGAGCCGAAGGAAGAGGCGTTTGCCGAATCTGGACCAGGGTTGTTCAGCAAGAAACCTGGTAGCTGTGTATCCGGTGGAGATACGCTTGTATCGCCGGTAAATGTAGGGCCAATTGAGGGACGGCTGATAAATGCTGATCAGGGCATGCTCTTGAGTCCAGGTGACTGTGTGGTCGGGGTCGGTCAGGATGACCCAGGTGGCAAATTCATCATAGTTGCCGAAGTGGTGCCACCATCTGAGTGCCGGTTCAGCATTAATGAATTGCCCATGTTGAGTACCCAGCAACTTGGCTCTACGATTGTGCTCTCGGCTGGAATAAGTGATGCTGGTACTGCCAATGTATACATCGGACTGCGGGTTGACTGAGCGCGGAAGGTCAGGGCGGAGTTCTACTCGCTGCTTCCAGTACACCGCATTGGTCTGCGAGAAG